AACAGTGAAACCAGTTATTGATAATATTTGTTTGGAACAAACAGACTGGTTGAAGAAAATAACGATCTGTAACAAACCTACCAGCAGAAGTTTTAAAATTATGAATATGTATCTTCCTTTTTGTTAAATAATTTTCGTTTTGTAAAAATATATCTATCTTATTTCAAAACTAAATAGTATGAGTAATATCATTAATGTTCTTGTGCCATTATCTACACTTTCAGAAAAACGTGATATTTTAAAACGTCATTTTGACAATTATTTGCCAACCAAGTTCATAATTGTACTCAACAGATGTCGTTGCCTGATTAACGATTTTGGAAACATCAAAGAATCAACTTTTTATACGAATTGGGATGGCCATATGTATTAATACAGTTGGCCGTGGTAGAGCGGAGTAAACGATGAAAAAAAAAAGGTTAAAAATTAACTAACGTCAAAGTGACACTGCCAAAGTCAACTCAATCATGGATTAGGCATTTCATTTTAAATTTACATAGTATCGAGTGGTACAGGGTATTAGTATTTTGGGTTGCGTAAAAATAATTTTCAGAAGTAATTTTCTCGTGACTAACCCTGTATATATATTTTTTGGGTGCCCGATGGAGTATTTACCATATTTATTGATATATGGGCAGAGGGAGCACACGTCATAATAATAAATTTTCTCCTGGGGTCCGCATTTGTGGTAGAGTCTGTACGCGTTGCTGCGTCCTCCAAAAAATGCATCTCTTGGGTTGGGTGGCTCAACTCTTGCAGCCCCTTGCTAAAGGCTTTGAGTTGAGGGTTATTTTTCATTAAACGCCTGAAGTCGCACATGGTAACAAGGTAATAACCCCTTTCTTTAATCGTTTCTTCTCGTGTCCACGTGTTTTCATGACCCAAAAACAGACCATCATTTTTGGTTGCAAAAGAAGAGGTTGATTAAAGTAGCATCGATTACAACTATGGCATCAACACCCGAAAAATTCGTATATGGTATTACTTTCAGCACAGTAACCGTCTACGAAACCCTTCAGGAAACTTAAATTCTCGTCCATTTCCGGATACACCTGTGGTTTGCGCAACGCACGTCTACCCTTGATCGGTTATCTCATAGATGATTGTAAGGGATAATACCAATGATCTCAGGGAGCAAACAAATTTTTCTGAAAACGCGATTGCAAGCCGCCGCAATCGTTAAGCATTCCAAGAAAGAGTCTACTTTGTTCGCGTCAAGAAAACATTTTCTAAACTTGAGGCAACCCTTTCTTAAAATGTTGACGTCTTGGGTGCAGTATCTTACGATTTGTGCGACCATATAAAAACGTAATTATTTGACACTTGTGTTGCGTGTCGCTTTAAAAATTCACCCCACTCCCTAGGGCGCATGCTGCTATATCCAAATTCCTCGGGGCGACAATATAATTTTCGTTAATTTTTACTTTCCGAGCACAAGCGAAGAAAGTATTGAAATCGATTCCTCGGCCGACTCTCTACTTTTACGTTTTCTCGACCTTTCATGACTCCTACAGTACGAAGAAGTAGGTTTCCCGTTTCCGTCTGCCTGTCTGTCCGTCCGTCTGTCTGTCTGTCTATCTACCGTTCAGATATTAATTAGAGCGATAATCGACGAAAGTATTGGGCCGATTGTTGTCAAATTTTGTATTTATATTAGGAATATCATGTAGATGTTAAAACTGTGGGAACAACTATTCCCCCAAAAACACGTGATCTATCTAAACGCATTTATAATTTATATAAATTTCTGTACAAATGTAAATACGTTCGATTTTTCGTCTACCTGCCCTATGCCCCTACTTTATCTTCCAGTTTCTGGAATTTTCTAAACTCTTTCTTTGCTGGTAAAGTTGAAGCATTTTGAATTGTTAAACGGTCGAAGTCGGTGACCAACTGCACTCAAAACAGCATTTATTTATTACACACTAAGGTATGTAATGAATTTCATGACTGCCCTAGATGTCTAATAAATAGTTTCCTTAATTACTATAATTGACGTAATAATGGCATTACATATACCATGATTGAGAATAAAAATAATTAATTACTTGTCGCCATTGCGCTGGGTTCATCTTCATGATGACATTGCCGATGAATTACACCGTTTTAACAGGTTTAAAGTTAGAATGAACAATTATAGTTTAGATTTTAGTTTTAATTTAAAATTAGAAATAGTAGAGAAAGCAAGCAGTGAATCAATCAATAATTTCCCGTGTATTTTGTTATACCAAATCTAGTTTAATTGATGAATATAAAAGATGATTTTCGTTATCAAACCACACATTTCTTGTTTTCGGTTGATAATAATTATCTGAGATCGGACGGGTGCGACTAAGGTGTAAACCGCTAGTGTAATGGGATGCACTGCTTGAACTTCCTATGGAAGTTGGTTAGCCTTCTGACTACCTGTATGTTACAAAATGAGTTAATTTTTCATGGAATTCATGCATATCCAGCGCCGTACATACTTGACAATCACATTAGGTGTAAATAAAATGCAAAGATCATCGCATTGCAAACTCAGTTTTATGCAGGAAAATTTTGAGAGGAGAACAATTGTTAAAAAATGTTATTAAAATACAGTAAGGAGGTGAATTTATGGGCGACTTGAAGGTTACCCATATTCGCTGGAGTAATTTCGCTTTTTTTTTCGGGTTTTTGTATGTCATTTCTACATTTTGCATAAAAACGAGCACGCAGTAAAGGAATTTGTAGAAATGTTATCCTGTATTCTAACGAACTTTTCTTTCATTTCCATCAGATCGCTATACAAATAGAAAAATAGTAACTATACTCGTATATAATATTTTTATAGTCAATTATTGTCAGAGCAGAACAAACATCTTCCAAGTTTTACAAGAAATTTCATAAATAATTTCATGTATTCTAGTGGAAGATCCAAATTCGAACTTCCGTCTTTGGTAAAACTAAGTTGCTGTTGTTGCCGTTGAACAAGATGAGGGAAAATTATTTCCACGAGCAGTTCCGAACACGTCTGTTGGCATTTTGAAACTGAAATCATTGCAATTAATGCTACAATTAATAAGATGTTTAAAGATAACGTCAACTTCACGTTGTTCATATTAAAGTTTGTGATAAATTGGAAGACGATAATTATGTTATTGCTATTGTTGATTTTTCTTATTCAATAGAAGGTACACCGTTAGAACGAAAAACATCGATCAAAGATCTAGGAGTTACTTTTGATAGCTGCTTGACTTTTGATATTCATCTTACCAACATTTGCAATGCTGCAAATAAATCTTTGGGGTTTGTCATGAGAATTTCAAAATTTTTCAACAACATTGACGTAATTAAATCCCTCTTCTTCGCATATGTTCTTTCGAAATTAGAGTATGCCTCACTAATATGGTATCCCATATATATGTGTCAGCATATGCTTCTTGATAAAGTGCACAGGAAATTTTTGAAATTCCTTTCGTTCAAAATTTATGGTAATTATCCGGCCAAAGGTATTGAGATGGAAAGTCTTCTCCAACGACACAAGATGTCCTCTTTGATGGTTCGAAGAGATCTGCATGCGGCTAACTTCTTGTGTAAGCTTATTCACAACAAAATTGATTGCCCATATTTATTATCACAGATTAGATTTAATGTCCCTCGGCCAGCATCGAGATATGTTAACACCTTTCATATCTCCACCGCCCAAACATAATATCCTTCGTCGTTCGCCAATTACTACAATGTGTCGATGTGCAGATAGATATGTAGCTGATATATTTTATTTTATTATGTTTTTGTTAATGTTATAATTTTTGTGTTGGTTATTCATGTAAGTAATTATTTAGATTTGTCCTGTCATTAGGGTAACCTGTTGGACAATAAAATTATTATTATTATTAAGACCTACCACTGACCCGGAAATTACCGGCATTCAGGCAAGACTTCTATCATTACGGGTACTAAGACCAAGTAATGATATGCATTGATTAGATTAACAAAACAACTTTCGAGATTCTAGAATTACAGCATACAAATTAGTCTGCTATTATTCTCTAATCTCACCCCATCCCCAAAAGTCTAGCGTAACTACCGATCATTTATCCGCGCATCACTTGGAAAGTGACCTACACTACTCTGACCTACTGGTGCTAATCTAATCTGACTGACATGATCAGACTGTTCGAGAAACTTACGAACAATATGACATGTTCCTAACAAAACAGCTTTTTGAATTTTGACAATTATTGAATCATTCAAATGCAAAGACTTTAAAGTCTCAACTAAGCTATTTGGGACTACATCTACATTAGAGATAACTAGGGGTAGAATTGAAATTTTTTTAACATTCAACATGGATTTCATTTCTATTGATAATTGTAGATATTTTGAAATCTTGGTGTGGTATGTTTGAATAATGTTGTTTGTGTTAGGAATAGCAATGCCAATGAGAAGGGCTTCGTTCGTGTGTTTTTTGATAAGTATGATGTCTGGTCTGTTAACTGTAATGTTTAAGTCTGTAAGTATTGTGCGATCCTAGTATAATTTGTATTTGTTATTTTCAAGGAACGGAGATGGAATGTAAGTGTAATAGGGTGTCGTATCTTCTATTAAGTTCATTATTATTATTATCTCAAAATTTTACCCAATAAATTATGTCTAAAATATGGAAAATATGGTGCTCTATACTTGTGGTTTATCAATGCTTTAATAGTTTTTAAAATTACCTATGTGGGGTGAATAAAAAATTAATGGGACAATCTATTTTATTGAACACATCCCATTTTCCCGAAAATTTGAGTATACATTATTGATGCGCTGCATCTATTCAAATTGATATACGTGTCCTTGCTAAAATGTTGATATCGTCATCACAAAATTTTGTTATTGAAAAACTCGTTTGAGACTTACGCATAGCTTGTACTTTAACGGTCTATACATATCTTTATTTTTAACTAATAGGGGTTATCATAAACAATATATAACAATACACGGACGAAGAAAGTTCTTTCTTAATAACTTAGATCTTTTTTTTGCAGGAAAACTGTGAGGAATTTGAGGCAGTGGTATCCGCTCAATGTGATACATTAATCGAGGCTATTCACCACAGGCGCTCACAACTTCTTGAATGCATTAGACAAGATAAAGAATTAAGGGTTAGAGCTTTAAAGGAACAGGTTGCAACATGCACTAGTAGACTGCAACAAACTACTGCATTACTTCAGTTCTGCATTGAAGCACTCAAAGAAACAGATAGTTCTGCATTTCTGCAGGTAATAGAAACACAGTTTTTAACTTGTATGTCTTTTTTATTTAGGTGGTAATTTTTTAACTTTCTGCATGGAAAAAAATGAACTACAAAAACAGAAATTCTCTTTATTTAAGTTGCAGTCTTTTTAAACATTTAAATTGTAATAAAAAAAGCTATAATATTTCTCTACATACTTTACAAAATAAATAAATAATATTAGGCATCTCCACATCCCAGATTTGCTACCAATAGTAATAGTACAGCACATTAATTAAAGATTAATAATACTTCTTTTATAGGTTGGCTCAATGTTAATTAGTAGAGTAGCAAATACTGACCATTCGTGGCATAAAGAGTGGACAGCACCACGAGTTTCACCTCACTTCGATCTTACTTTAGACGATAAATCCGTCCTTCGAGCGATTGACCAGCTCAATTTTATTCAAATGAAACGTGAGTATTTTCTAGGTATTTTTAAAGTTAATGCTTCATTGATATTTTCATTGTTGAGCTGAATATGTATTTCTATTTATCTAAATTAGGTTTAAAATTAAGAATTTTTTGGTTTTTATTAATGTTTGCATAAAATTTGAAAAAAAAAAAAATTCCGGAAGCTTACGCATTTCGTGAAAAAACTTCATCTACAGTATCTATGTTTTTAATTAAATGATAAATTTGCATTGTTTGCCCAGCGTACGTTGATGGAGAAGAACGAATGCCTGCAGGTAAATGCATGAAAAGCATGTTTATAATTATATATATTTTTTTATTTGGCATGGTCTCTGCTAATTACGAATTGAACAACTAAAGAAAGAATGATAGTACATATTATATTTTAAAGTGTGTGTTGATTTTGTTTTTTGTAAGGCAAAATATAGTGAAACAAAATTCAATACTTCATCGCACCTATTTAACACAACTATTCTACAGATGAGAGTTAACTACAAGTCACAAGCAAAAACTTCTAAAGAAAAGTCATTTTAAAAGCACACTACCCGCTTGTCTGTTATTGAATAACCTAAAAAGATTAATATTGTTATCTTGATCGGGTATTTTAAAATCGGCGTGAGTAACACTCAACAAATTATTTCTCAGTAACTCAAATTTACACGATTAACTATACAGCGATTATGTACAAAATTATTCCGACTATACTGAAACATGGATTTGATTAGATCCAAACTCTTTCAACATTGACTGGACTCGACGTGTGGTGGCGTATGGGTTTATTTCGTAACAATACTGTCACGATGATTGGTGATTAAAAATCGACGTGGGTAAAACTCAACAATTATTCCTTAATAGCTCGAATTTACACGACTGTGAGGTTTTTTTTCTCAGAACACAGGATAATTCATGTATGTTGGGTTGCATATGCATCCTCCACTAGATTGATTTGGACTTTTAAAAACTGAACGTAAGATCACATACGACTCGAAATAATTGAGGCGTAGGCTATGTCAACGATGACATTTACAGTAAAATTTTTTTCGAAATTGTTTTTGTAAAAAATTTTCTGTTCTTAAACTTTTTTACAATATCTTAACATGAAGAGAGTAATGCCAAATGTCAATGGCAATATCTTTGACATATCCTAAATCTCGATTAGATTTTATGTTCAGTTTTTAAAAGTCCAAGTCAATCCATTACAAGCAGGTATGCAACCAACTTAACATTAATTATCCTATGTTCAGAGAAAAAAACCTTACGGTGTAATTGTTAACAAGCAAATGTTAAATTTATTATTTATTTATTTATTTTTTTGTGTGTGCACATTGCTTACATGTAGACGTCGATTATTAAAATTATTTCACATTATGGAGCAAAATACAAACTTGTTTATTAACTATAATTATTTTAGAACCAAATGTAAAGTTTAATACAGTCTTGCAAAGTGTTAATTACAATAAAGTAGTTCGATTGACTCATTCATTAATTTTTGAGCCACCTGTATAAGCAAATCTAAAAAATATGAATGCAATGATAAATCACAAGTAAAAACTCATCATATTTTGCACATTTAAGATACGATTTGTTCAACAATATTTTGAGATGACGTCATCAATTTTTTAGGGAGGATGAAGAAATATATTTTGATCAAAAATTTACCATGTTTATGATAACTTTAAAACATCTCCAAGTCAAAACATTCGGTTTTACCGTTCCTGATTAAATCAATAAAATAAAATCACGCATTCATTAATTTTTTTGATTTACCCTTTATAAACATATCCAAAAAAATATTAATGGAAATGATAAATCACAAGTATAGACTCATCATATTTTAGATAGGATTTATTCGGCAAAATTTTGAACTAACATTATCAATTTATTGGAGGGGTTAAACAAATATATTTTGATCAAATATTTATTATGCTTTTGCGAATGCTTTAAAACACCTGCAAGATTTCAAAGCATTCGGTTTTGCAGATTAAATTTCAAAATGTTTTATAATTTAAATTTTTTTCATCATTAAAAAAATAGTATTAAAAAAAACTTGTTTTATAAGGTCATTGTTAACAAAACTACTACTAATAATATTATGGAAGAGGATAAAACATAGGTTATACTAATAATTTCATGGTTTAAATAAACAATCCGTGATAAGTGTAATGGATTCTGAGCAGTAATACCTTCGTCATGTTGTAACCATTCGCACTACGGTGCTTTAGTTTGTTGAATGCATGCCATTTCTTATACTCCTATTGTACTGTGTCACTTAATAATTAATTTCTCCTGTATGTAAAGAAACCTACAAGATTGTAACATGGTCTTCTACAATGGTCAAGGCGTGTTTGACAAAAATTTCAGGACAATCTAAATTGTAGTTTTTACATAAATGTAACACGTGCTTGTGCTTATGCCCAGTTGTAGTTAGTTATATTTAGATTGTTATCCAAACGTACGCAGGAGTAGAAGTGGGTGCCTACCAAAGGAATAATTTATTTGAAAATCAAACAATACGGACATCAAATCGTCACTGGCGTGTAGGTTCGCAAATAAGCATTTGCCAACCCCAATTAAGTTCAGAAAGATACCAAACAACTGCGCACTTTCAAACTTCAAAAAACTTGACAATTGACATATTACAGACTGATTGTGATTGTGAATAAAATAAATTACAAATCTCAATAATTTGTACGATTGTTGGCACATGTCATTGTTAGCCAGGCAGAAGCTTTCCTTTACAAATATTTCAAATAACGATGTAAATTCAACTTAATACATAAAATCAGGGTTCAGAAAATCTTGGACGTCGTTTTTCTGTTATTTTGAAAATTTTGATGTAGTGTATGCTTTATTTTCACTTAGATGTTCGAAGTTTAAAAGATTTGTCACGTCACATCCAGTGTCAGTAGTGTCAAAAATTACAAAGCTAAAAAACAAGGTTAAATACATAACAATGTTTCTCACTTTATGATAGTGGAGTGACATTGACGTCCAAGATTTTCTGGCCGCGACTATACAATAAAGCGATGACAATAACAACTATATTCATGAAGTCTTTATATACAGTGGCGGCGAAAATAAAGTAAGTGTACCTTTCAAATTTGTATAAACATTTAAATGTCATTGGATACCCGTGATAGATATGTATTCAACTTGAGTCCAATTTACACAACTAAATTTATTGAAAAAATCCTTTGAAGAGGCCTACTTTATTTTGGCCGCTCTGTACATATAAAAAAATATCAAAAGACAAAAAACTGATAGAGAAATTAGATGCTTATTGAACAATTTTAGCAACTTTTGGTCATAAAATTGGTTTTTTTCTACAGCACCAACTGCACCAACGATTATACCCGAAGAATGTAGTGCTGAAAATAACTCTGTTACGGTGGCCTGGCAACCTCCTGCTCAAAGTCATATTGAAGGTTATGTTTTGGAATTAGATGACGGAAATGGCGGCGATTTTAGGGTAAGTTTACTAGCATACTGTAGTAATTGATCAATTCAATTAAGTAATTCATCAATTCAATTAAGTAATTCATATATAAAGTAAATTATTCATTCTTTATTTAATAATATACATATAAATATAATATAATTATTATTTATACATATACTCTTATTTGATATTATGGCAGTTGTTTACGTTACAGGTGGGCTAAAAGCATTATTACCACAATTATAAACGTACTTTTGTTTACAACTTAGCATTAGCCGATTATTATAATGGTTCGGGTTAGTCCATGTGGAACACACAAAGTTCTGTCAACGAAATCTGATAAAAGTCTATTTAGATAAATAAATTAAAAAAAAAAATAATAAATCGATGACCTACTTTATGCTACTCACATTGAAGTGGGATAAATCGCAGACACTACTTGGGTCAATCAACTATTCTTCTAAGATTTCCACTTCAAAGCCAAACAGGAAACATAGCTTTGTCACAACTTCGCTGTTAGTGCTGAGGTAATGTTTACCGGCGAATTGCTTTAGTTGTGATTTACTTTGTTTTCAGAACTTGTTAAGCTGTGGTCACACAACTTGTCCACTGTGAAAATGTTTTTTACCATAAACATCACCAAATTTTGTAGTTTGGTGTTATACGTGTAGAACTGTGGACTTAAATATGCTACTGATTGCGCACGCCCCAAACCGGACGTCTTAAAAGAATAAAAGATTTAGGTTTCGTTGAGGTGAAATCTTCTTCCTGTGTCTTGTTGGGATTTATCATTCGATGTCCTCTAGTTCTTTCGGCAACATAGACTCATAACTTCAATGAAATATGTCTAGAAAGCTTCATGGAAGAAAAACAACATGTTTAACGATGGAGAGATGAGCATCATTTGCATTTTTCTGTAATGATGACTAAAAGAAAATATACTAATACCTAATATCTAATAGTAATGTCCGAATCTCCAGTAAAATAAAATAAATAAACTAAATAAATTTAGAAATGTAGAAATGTAGAAATGATAAAGTGCATGAGTTTATTGTGTTGAAATGTCATTTCAAGGTATTATTAAGCAACCCTGATAGAAAATATGCCACATGGTATACTTCTGTGTTTAGATATTTAATAATTCACAATGTAAGGTATAAGTCGCGTAAAAGACTGGTTAGAATTGTGTCACGGAATAGAAACACAATTCTGTTCTTGCCGGGCTGAGCGCTGGCTTTTTGTAGAGGTTGCCCTTCCTTCCCCGGGATCCGAATGGAGTTAAGAACCAATGGGCATGTCGTGGGTGTAATTTCGGAGATGCTTCGTATCGCACAGGCAGCGCCTTCGGAAGAATAACAGTAGACATGCATTTGCGCTAAAAGTCTGTATTTTTAACTTTATTACTCCAATTACTATTAAAAAAAAATATTTCAATAATCAAGTTTTGCAATTTATTTAGAAAATATTAACCTCCTTAAAAGCTGGAAATTTGTTTTTTTTTTAGTAGTCGTAGCGTACAAAATCGGTCCAGTGAGAAGAATTATTTTTTGTAACTTGCAACCCAAAGTACCAACCCACCGCAGGTAGCGACCCAAGAGAGGAGAGATTATGGTCAGTGTAGGGAGTCCCTCATAAAATGCAAACTTGTAAACAACACCAGATAAGCTTATTTATTTCCAAATGAAGAGTTCAGGGGAATAACGATCGAGGTCCATTTGTATAAAATAAATTGAGAAACCCACAAGGTTCATTTTAACACACCTTTTTATATTCTTTATAATGTTTTAAAAATGTATATATAAAATAAAATGTTAATGTCCAAATATAACAGTAAAAAAAATGCAATTGTTTAATCTTGTGTTCCAATATTGTATGAAAAATGAACTAAGTCCATTTTGAATGGTCGGTACTAAAAAGTTATTTATTTCAAATATAAAAAAAGAAAAAGTACTCGTCGAACTCGTCATCACTTCGATTGCTATCTACAAATGGTAATTCCGTGTAAAATGACTGAAACTCCTCCTACGCGAACAACTTCAGTTCTTGCAGTTGATCGTATTTTTTCCTAGACAAAGGTATCGAGGCAGAAGGTAACGCTTCAAGGTTAGATTTACAGATATAAGATACAGAAAAAACGAAAACGTTCCTTGGCATAAAAAAAAATTCAATTTAAAAAATGACGTCCTGAACGGACCGAACCACATATTAGGGGACCATTCTAAATGTGCAAATTATTTTTGTAAATAAAGTGTACAAGGAAGTTCAACAGTTTTGTCTGATAAATTTACAAAAATTTTACGTTGTATGAAAAATGTTATGCCGCTCTGAGCAGAGTCGCAAATTTATCATCTAGTTTTAAAAATGTAATAAGAGCCAGATAGCATTTACAGAAACGTTTAGTAATAAACAAATAACATGCCACAAAAAGAAACGTTCTTTAAAAAGAAAACAGCGCGCACAAAGTGCAGATTAATTATGGACATGTCGTCGCCTGAGAACTTGTTTGATCTACAGACCAGAGCGCACTCAGGCCAATATCGACTATAACCCGACTTTCGTTAGAGCTGATCTGATACACATCCACAACGAACAACTAACCCCTTTCGACCTGCTCGGACTTTACAACGAATAAGTGAACAAAGTTCTAGAACAGTGACAAAATTTACATTTCAAATTTTATTATAAATGGTAGAACGCTCACCAAAATTTGTCAGCAACAATGAAATGACGTAATCTCCAAATTTTACAGTAGTAGATGTAATTTAAATTTTATATCCTCCGTTTATGGTTTATGAATCCATATTCAGTTTTTACCTTAGATGTCAAGATTTTTGGAAAAAAATCAACAACATTTTCCAATTTATGGTAATTGGAAGCATGTTAAATCGTTAGTCAAGATTTATCCGCTGATGCTCCCTAGGAGTTGATGATGTCATCTTGGCAATTTTGTCGAATAAACGTTATTTAAATGTTAAAAAATAGACAATGGTACGGAGGTAATCTAAGAACTTCATGGCCACTTTCTCTTAATGTCTCGTCTACCAAATATCTTTTTTTTTATTCTTTCTGAAGGGTTTAATTAAACCCCACAACTGTTTCTTCGAAATTTTTTTGTCAAATTCAACACTATGTTTAAAGAGCCATTCCTGCATTTCACATTTTTTACAAGAAAAAGTGGGTGGTTTATCCAACTGAACCGAATGATACGGTGCATTGTCTAAAACCACCAGACATTTTTGGTTCAACTTTGCCAGAGCAGGAATGAACTAATTAACCACACAATTTTGAAAAATTGTCCCGTCCATCGTTTTATGATAGTCTCCATCGTTATTTTTTGAATTTAAAAAGTCGTTACAACCATCTAAGAACCCCGTTGAAAAATCCGCGTGGAGAATAGTAAACTTTGATCCTTCGCTTTCAATTTTGGTGGGATTGCTTTTTAGATCAGTATCGTGCACCCAGCGATGGATGGACGAACCATTTTGATAGATCCATGTTTCATCCAAATTCACGAAAGTCAAATTTTCACAAGAATTTAGAAACTGTAAATATGTTCTCAAAAAAGTAATTTTGGCTGCAACGACATGTTTTTGTTCACATAGAATTTTGCGACCATTTACTTCTCTGTGTTTATAACCCATTGCCAAATTTTTCGTTGCAGGTGAGAACAAAAATTTAAAAGATATTTTACAGCGTATTTCACAGAAAATATGTTCGCGACCCTCATAGCTACTTCTTCGAAAGAAAGATCGGGCCTGTCTTTTCGAAACGACAAAAAACATCTTTTTACTTCCCGAGCGTAAGCAAAGGAAGTATTGTAATCGAGTCCGTCGGCCGACTCTCTACTTTTACGTTTTCTCGATCTTTCATGACCCCTAGAAGACGAAGAAATAGGTCTCCCATTTCCGTCTGTCTGTCCGTCTGTCAGTCTGTCCGTCTGTCAGTCTGTCCGTCTGTCCGTCCGTCTGTCTGTCCGTCTGCCGTCCCGGATTTTTATTAGACAGATAATCTCCGAAAGTACTCGACCTATTGTTGTGAAATTTTGTACTTATATTAAGAATATCATGTAGATGGTAAAACGCTAACCAAAATTTGTCTAATCATCCCCACCACTAATGCGATGACGTCACTTCAAAATTGTACATAGTAAATGGGTTTTCAATTGTATAAAATAACATAGTCCCACACATGTAGTTTACAACTCCGAATCGACTTTTCACCCGAAACGTCCAGATTTTTGGAAAAAAAATCAAAATTATAAAACAACATTTTGAAATTTAATTTTTAATCTGCTAACCAGAATGCTTTGAAATGTTGCAGATGTTTTAAGGCTATAAAGAGCATCATAAATCTTTAGTCAAAAAATATTTGCTTATCCCCTCCAAAAATTTGATGACGTCAGCTCAAAAGTTTGTGGAATAAATCATATCTAAAATGTACAAAATATGATGAGTCTGTACTTGTGATCTATCCCTCCATTCATATTTTTTGGATTTGCATATACAGGTGACTCAAAAAAATTAATGAATGCGTAAATTTATTTTACTGATTTACTCAGAAACTACAAAACCGAATGCTTTGAAATCTTGCAGATGTTTTAAGGTTATAAAGAGCATAATAAATGTTTAGTCAAAATATATTTGCTTATCCCCTCCAAAAAATTGATGACGTCAGCTCGAAAGTTTGCTGAATAAATCCTATCTAAACTGTAAAAATATGATGAGTCTGTACTTGTAATTTATCACTCCATTCATATTTTTTGGATTTGCATATACAGGGTGACTCAAAAAAATTAATGAATGCGTAAATATATTTTATTGATTTAATCAGGAACTACAAAACCGAATGCTCTGAGATCTTGCAGATGTTTTAAGGTCATAAAGAACATAATAAATGTTTAATCAAAATATATTTGCTTATCCCCTCCAAAAACTTGATGACGTCAGCTCGAAAGTTTGCCGAATAAATCGAATCTAAAATGTACAAAATATGATGAGTCTGTACTTGTGATTTATCATTCCATTCATATTTTTGGATTTGCATATGCAGGGTGACTCAAAAAAATTAATGAATGCGTGAATTTATTTTATCGATTTAAGCAGGAATTACAAAACCGAATGCTTTGAAATCTTGGAGATATTTTAAAGTTATTATAAGCATGGTAAACTTTTGTTCAAAATGTATTTGTTCATTCCTCCTAAAAAAATTGATGACGTCACCCTTAAATTTTGCTGAATAAATCCTATCTAAAATGCAAAAAATATGATGAGTTTGTACTTGTGATTTATCATTCCATTCATATTTTTTAGATTTTCTTAAGAGGTGGTTCAAAAAAATTAATGAAGTCAATTTATTTTATTGATTAAATTAAAGGCAACACTTATTATTAGTATTACATTGGACCAACCCAATTTGGTAGACACAAAATTTGTTAAAGGAAAAACTCGGTTGAAACATAAGGGTAGCACGCTTATTTACATCGACTTTAACATTACAGACCTGCATTTGTTTTATGCGCTCACTTGGTTCCGCGAATGTGGAATAGACATGTTTATAATCAACCAATTGTGAATTTCACCGTCAAGAATTAAAATAAAACCCAATGTTTTATATAATAGGCGGAAGTCGAAGCAATAAAACCGACGGTCGTTTTGTTTATAGTTTCTCTGTTTGACTCTCACGTATGCTGTTACGCTTGTCATCTTAAATTAAGAATGTTTATACATAAACGATTTTCAGTTGCCTCTCATATTACTAGACAGCGGATTTCTGTCGGGCTACGTCACGATTATAGGTGAGGACGCGCTGGATCGCCGGGACTCAGTAGCGGGTGATAGATAATCACTGAATTTAATCGGTACTAATTCCATAAATATAATTAACGATTTATTAATCAAACGGCTAAGTAAATGAGAACGGGAATTAACAGCAGAGTGCAACGAAACAGCGTTATTCTAATCTCAAATAAACGAAGTGCAGTCCGTAACCGCAATGAATTCGCATCCCGTACGAGCCGTACCGAGTTTGGCCTTGCCTAGCCCGACAGAAATCCGCTCTCTACATATTACACACCGTCGCCGTATACGTGAGTAAATTGTTTCGTTATTTTATTGATGATAACAAATCAATATTCAAAACGACCCAATTCATTTTCCCGAAAATTTGGGAATACCATAATTTTATTCTTAGTATTACACTACATCTATCCCAACTGATATACGTGTCCTTGCAAAAATGTTGATGACGTCATCGCAATTTTTTTTTTAAATTCCCACTACAAAAATGTAATGAGAAAAAAAACACAATAGGCATGCAGTCGTCAAGTTTCCGACAGCGAGGGAAGTACTGTCTAAACTCTTTAGACCAATTTTTTTAATCCGTTGTGGTCATGACACATCGATAAAATGTGAAAATAGGGAGTCGCACTCTTAGATCATATAATAAAGAGATACCAATACTCAAACTGAAAGCTGTGACTAGACATGAAGCTATCTGTTGTCGTTTTCTTTGTGTGATCACCAGTGGCGGCTCCTCGGGGTGGGCAGGGTGGGCAATGCCCACCCTATTTGATTGTTTATGATACGAAGTAAAATATTGATTTTTTTTCTTTTTTAAAATATGTTATATGTATACACAATTATATGTATAATTATCGTTGTAAACATCATTTAAGCCAACGGATTTTCTTCATTACATCCCGCAGTTTCCGCAACTGAGAAATTGCAGTTGTAAAAAAGTGCATCAGATCTCGGCGTTATACGGTTCATGTGAGGATGGGCTAGTCCACCCTGGTCCACCCTCTTGTTTGTAAGCAACGACATACGTTCGGTTTTCTATGTACGTAATTGAGAGTAAAGAATTCGAAACGCGCGTCTTTGCATATCCGTGTTTTCTTGCTTCAAGCGGGGCAGGACGCCCTGCTGGCCTCAACGTATATCTCAAACGCTGCAGGTTCGATTCGATTCAAGGATTCAATAAATTAATTTCGATTTTTTTATTTCTTCTGTATTGTAAAAGTATAGAGGTAATTATTTTTACTACTCTATTGAAATATGGGTAAGGTAGTAAGGAAAATAATGTTATGCGAAAATTCTTGAATACTATTGTTATAGAAAAGAACAACACCATAATAATTAATAAATACTTTTTCATATCAAATGAAAATTTGTAATAACCATATTCTTGTGTTATGACACCGTGTAAACTTTATAAAATGAATTATAAATTTAAAAATTCGAATAACCAATGATGAGAATAAGTAATACATTTATTATTGCAGTACGTATCTGACATGTGTATTTTTTTATTATTACATATGGATTTTTGTTTCATAAATATAACTGTAGCAGAGTCAACAAAAGTTAAATATACGCTTAATTTATTATTTAATTCAGACTGTCCGCACAGGTTTGTTACGCGTTCGCTCTAGCATGGGTGGGCAAATCCACCCTGAAAATCGGAAGCACTCGGCATGGTTCGTCCTCGTCGGAGACACGACTCAATTCTCTGACTCAATTGAATTCAGTCAAATCAGAAACTGCATTGTGGATAGTGTATTTAATTATAAAATGTAGCTTATTCAAATTACCAAATAGTTAGGCGGGTACCAAAGTATGTACTTTCTAGCAATTTTTTTTTAATGGCAAATCCTACTGTAAGCTGTGCAAATAATATTAGAGAGGTGGTAAAGAAGGCATTAAAGACATCGAGTTTTTGTTTTTAATAAATAAATTCAGTAGTATGGAACTTGATATTTATGAATTATTTGTTTATAAATTAAGATCATGTCATCACAAACTCTCGTGGCAGTAATAAAGGCTTTAATCAAAGTTCGGACAATAAATATTAGGTCCCTATTGGTTGATCGGTAGTGAAACAACAAACAAAACTGTTGGAATTATCTGCTATTTAACATAAAATTAAATTACGAACACTTTAGAATTCCACAAGAAGAGCGATAAAAAATATATCGCTACTGCTTTACAAAAACATGACCAATCTGAATAAACGAAAATTACTTGGAAACGAAGTGAAACTATAGAAAATTCTCTTAAATTCGGCGTTTATTCGATATGATAATTTTCTTGGCTACACAAAAACATACATTTCGGGGACAAGATGAATCGCAAATTTCTCTTAAAGTAAATTCGATGATAAATTTAAAAAGTTTTTTGGAGGAGTCTTTGGTAATTAGTGGTCTTCTGAACGATTATTTTTGAATTATTTTTATTTTATTTGTTATTGTTAACTTTGTTAGTATTTTGAGAATTTATTTTTTGTTTCATTTGGCATTTTTAATTTTGCTTTTACAATAGTTTTCCAAATTGCTGCTTTTTCTAAGTGTAGCTTATCTCAAAGGTTTAAAATTTAATGTTTTCTCGTCATGTTATTTCAAAATCTTTACATGTTGGGATCATTATTTGAGTTTATAGTTCTATAACCTAACAAATCTATTTATGTGCTGAACCTTTTTTTTGCTCCTCTTTCCTCTTCTAGCAAGAGTCTTCGACGTTCTCGTTGGTTCTTGCTGACCTACATTGTAAGTAACATTTATAAAATAATATATATGTAATATACATAAAATATTTGTTATATTATATTGATTGACATGCAGCACCAAAACAAAAACACGTTCTCACAAAAGTGATTAATTATATATATGTGTATATTTTTTTTTCATACATGTTATAACCTACCTATAATGCTTTGCCCACCCATCAAAAATCACCACGAGCCGCCACTGGTGATGACCACATCTTCATCTTTGTTATATATGTATTTCACTTCCTTCCTTGTACCGCACCAGCGCAACAAATCGTTTTTGACAGATGTTTCTTCTAACCTCTCTTTCGCGTTCTTGTAAGAAAAACAATTTTAGAATTTAGAACAAAGATCCTATTTTAGGTGATCTAATCATAACGGATCACAATCGCCGTCAACATCTTTTATACGAAGTTAGTTCAGACATACTTTCTAAAATTGAGGCGCGCAAAATTCAAATAGAGATCAGGCAAGGATAGCTTCATTATAATCCCTCTGTGCACAAGAGAGATGTGTGACAGGAGGATGTCGTCACAGGCTCTCCTAGGGAAAGAACACGGCGTGTTGGTATCTATTTATTATATGATCTAAGGTCGCACTTTGGTCTCGATTACAACACTTCCCTAGGCTACGCGCGAAACGTGAAACTTGAACCAAAATTGAGTGTAATTCGTCACATACGAACGGGGTATATCGATCTGACTTTTTTTTTAATGTAAACAAATTGATTACGTTATATCGTCAAAATTAAGTCTTCATTTTTATCCATATTGCACTTGGTACTTAACTTTATCATGATGCATTACTATGTATAGGAAGGAATCAATAGACAAGGAAATAATAAATTATTGTAATGAATTGGTGCAGTCTGCTTGATACTGTTAGTTGTAATATTAACTGAATCGCTTTTCTTTTCTTTATTTCAGGAAGTATATTGCGGAATTGAAACAATATGTACAGTTGACGGACTTCATTTTCACTGCATGTACAACGCAAGAGTCAAGGCTTTCAACAGTTCTGGTGAAGGGGATTATAGTGAACTGATAGGGCTACAAACAGCAGAAGGTAAGCTTGGGTTGGTGACATAATTCTTTTTGTTAATATTTGTTTACTATAATACTCGTATGGGCAGTTCCGTCACATCTGATGATACAGAAGACATTTACTACTTTATTATCTTTATTTTACACCTAAAGTCGACGCAAAATAAAAAAAGAAACAGGAAAAAATGTATGTGTCTCTGTAACGGAATACCAATAATTTCACCTATCTTAAGTTGTCAGCCTACTAATTGCCATCAAAGTTAACATTTGAATTTTAAAACTCCACAGGCAAGAATTGTTTCCTCGCCAACAGTTTGGGTTAATCACGGTAAATTAGGATTGAACAGTGAGTGAGCTTGTAAATATATAATATCTTTTCTTCAACTTTTTTGAAACATTCTTATTTAACAGCGTTAACGACAGAATAGTTACTAAAATAAATTACTAAATTCCACGTTTACAATTAAAAAACTACAATTACATTGTGGACATTTATGAAGGTCAACCGCCAAGTGTTTTTTTTTTTTCATTGTACGTCGATAAAATACATACATACATTTTTTCATACACTGTCTTAAGAATTTTTTTTTTCTTAATTTTGTGTTTTAGTAATTGTGAGTAGGCATTCTGCGTCACTTAGATGACACAACTTACACAACATGCAAGTTCAGAAATTTCCACGAAACTGTTAAAAGATCTAGATTTCTAGATTAAAATGAGAATCCCTGCGATGACTTACATCAAATTTAATTATTATTTCGATAATTTAAAAAAAAAACCGTGTCACTCGAACTATAACTATAAAAGGCACTTAAACTACATTACAAATCGTGTTTTTAAATTTATAAATATTTATAGCATGAAACTTTTTCAAAATTTCATAATATGAACAAAACAAAATATTTTTCATAATTGATATAGCTAGTTCAAAAAAAAATCATCCCTTATTGTTAAAGAGCGGTTTATATGCTTAAAAAAAAGCAAAAATAAGCCCTCAAATAGGCGATAAAAATGGCAAAATAGGCGCTTATGAAAATAAATTTTACGCAACGTCTGGTTTTCTTTGAGATCTACATTTATTTTATTATGTTACATAATCAGTGATCCTAATCTTTGTTAAAATTTGCATAACAGATTGGATACTTTTCTAAATTTTCGGCAGAAAAATGTTTCCTTTTATCTGTTAGGACATTTTTATACCTAGATAAGGATCTCTCAACAACACACGATGTTAAAGGAGAGTATTTACAATGAGAAATTTCAGTGGGTTTAATTTTTAAATCTTTTTCTTCATTTTCGCCTTGTAATACTTTGCTGACAAGTTTAAGCTCTTTGTACCCACTACTTTTTTGTAAAGTATCTTGGAATTTTTTAAATGCCATTTCACCTACTGTCTCCGAGATATCTTCCAATTGTTTATGCAATTGCTCTACTATCTCCACAGACTAACTTAAGGTCTCTTAATGATCTCTAATATAGATACTTGTTTTTAAGATGGTAAAATGGGCCAAACCCAAATTATGTTTGAGATGCTTTTGTTGGAAATAGTATTGAGCATCAGCGATGCATTTCAACACTGTGGAGTCAAATTCCATAACAACCTAAAAGGTTTCATTTAATTTAGAACAGCAAAATTATGGATAGCAATAAACGAACCTTTTTTATATCGTCCAAATGGTCGTAATGATATATTGCCGCTTCATTCCATGAACCCCGTCTCGTCAGAACAAAATTGAATACTTTGAAATCTTGCAGACGCTTTGAAGTTATTGTAAGTATGGTAATTTTTTAATCAAAATATATCTGTTTATCAACCCCAGAAAATTGATTACGTCTTCTCAAAATTTTCCCGAATAAATCCTATCTAAAATTTGCAAAACAGGATGTGTTTGTACTTTTAACTTATCATTGCATTCATATTTTTTTTTGCTTGTACAGGTGGCTCGAAAAAAATAATGAATGAGTCAATTTATTTTATTGAATAAATCAAGCATTGCATAACTGAATACTTTGAAATCTTGTAGACGTTTTAAAGTTATTGTAAATATGGTATATTATTAATCAAAATATATCTGTTTATTTCCCCAAAAAAATTGATGACGTCATCTCAAAATTTTGCCGAATAAATTCTACCCAACATGTGAAAAATTAATGAATGAGTCAATTTATTTTATTGATTAAGCCAGGAACTCCATTGGCCCAGAAAATTTGGAGAACACAATACTGTTATTTTTAGTTGGTATTACACTGCACCAATCCAAGTTGGTATACGTGCGTATTCAATGCGAAAATGCTTGTTTTGACTCGTTAAAGTCGAATGTTGATAGATTGAATTGACACACCTTGTTAACAAATAACACTTTACTTCTCTTACGCTTACAGTACGAACTTGAACTTCGGAATGTGGGTTCGTAATGGTCGTTTTCGGTACTTAGACCGACTCACAAAATGATGGGGGTGGAGCTTACGACCCTTCTACCTGGAAGGGTCTACTCATTGTTGTACATAGATTGTACAATGCTGAATATGTTTTATTGTACTTTAGGTGCGAGGAACCAATTTTTTAGCTTATACCGGCTGATTTAAAAAAAATTAATAAATAATGGATTTAACTAATACTCGTAGGAGTTATAGTTAAAAAAATAGAATTCGCAAAATCAAATTTTACTATTTGTCAATGAAACTAGGTTTATTTGAGTGTACTTCAGTAGAAAGTGAAGTCCTATATAAATAATTTGTTTCCATTTTTTTATTACCATTATAATTGTTATTGATTAATCGTTCTAATAATAGTAAAGTTGTTCTTTCAATACATAATACTTAACGGGATTCTTGAAATATTGCTTGCATCCCTTGAGGTTTTCTGTAAAAAAATCTAAAGTTTAAAATAAATATTGTTACGATATACGGGTATTTAAAATCGGCGTGGGTAAAACTCAACAATTTATTTCATAATACAAAACTACACGACTGACTATACATAGATAATGTACAAAATAATTCCGACTGGATTGGAATAAATTTGACCAGTTCTTCTGGAGTGCCTATCGCGACTTCCGCTTCCATGCTTTTCTTTAGTCGAACGCCGCTGTGGGTGATGATGAGTCAGCGCCGTTCATACTAGAAAACCCATAGGCGTCGTATGGGTTTATTTCGTAACAATATATTTATAAACAAAGGATATGAATTACTTATAATGGATCTTGTACCTACTGTAAATTATAATTCCGCAAAATATTTTTAAATCGTGTTTCTATTATAGTTGCATGGTTCACATTCGATCCAATATTATCAGGACCAGGCCTTCAGTATTCCGAAGATAATACTACAGTGACTGGTGAAGGATGGGAACATAGAGTAGCATTAGGTAGTGTTGGATTTAGTCGCGGTGTACATTACTGGGAATTCACTATAGATAAGTATGACGCTGACACAGATCCTGCATTTGGGGTTGCGAGAATAGATGTTACTAGAGATAAAATGTTAGGTAAGTACAATTTGAAAAACTGCTTTATAGGTCAATATACGTGAAAAATTTTAGGTAAAGATGATAAAGGATGGTCCATGTACATAGATAAACAGAGATCGTGGTTCCAGCACGCAGGGGGTCATGAACAAAGGGTTGAAGGTGGCATATCAGTTGGTTCAACCATAGGCGTACTTTTAGATTTAAATCACCATATTTTATCGTTTTACGTAAATGAAGAACCGCAAGGAGAGGTAGCATTTAGAGATTTATATGGCGTGTTTTATCCAGCTATTAGTATTAATCGAGGCGTAAGCGTAACTTTGCACACTGCCTTAGATCCTCCATCTGATTCTGAAGAAACCTGAATTTTCCGCATCGACAATTAAATATTAAACGCACGGAGCACAACAAAAGATGTATTTTCCTTTAAATAGTGTAGTTGACATTGGAGAAATATTGGATGTGACGCAATATTTTTTAAAGATTTTTTTTTAAGTGTTAAGAAGTCCTAATGTCATTTTGTTAAAGTACTTATGGTATGATAATGGCTTAAATGAGTTTCTGTAGTTATTGTTTGATTTATATTTATTTATCACAGAAGAACATTATACGTAAAACAACGTTGTTGACGTTTCGATTCGTCAGTAACAATGTTGTACAGAATTTTTTCTAGTCTGAGCTAGTTGTTTGTTCAAGCTTTGTGACGCATTCTAAAATTCAACAAAAAAAAGAACAGGGAAATCTCTAAATTATAGCAATTAGCAAATTACAATAAAAAAAACAGCAGTGTTGGCGACGGCAAAATATTGTACACCTCTTTTGCGATATGCTTGTGTAAAGTAGTCCAAGAACTATAAAGTTATATGACCATCATAAAAGTAGTTGGCCTTAAATAAGTACCCCCTTTGTGTGGCTATTACGCACTTCATTTGAAAGCCGATTAACGGAGTGGTGGATTTAGATAGTTAGTGAAAGCCGCCCCTGAACGAAACGACAACAGCCGGTCGAGCTGCATTGGACACGTTATTTACGACGCTAAAACTTTTTTTATTGTAAACAACTTAACTTCGACATAATGGGATAATTTTATCATGGCCATATAACCTTATAGCTCTTGGACTACTTTACCTGCATATACATCTTAATTTTTTTGTTTTAGTGGTAAAAGCTGTAATAGATGCTGATCTGGCTTACAAAATTAAATTTATATTGCAGATTTCAAAATAATTAAAAATTAAGATGTTAGAAATTTTAAATAATAAGGTTCTTTTTGCAGATGTATTTCATAAATAATACGAAATGTAACAATGGAATCGAAGGTAACTATTATTTAAGCAGTTAATTTCTTAAAAAAAAAAACAGGATTTTAAAATTCCAAAGAAAATGTTTCTCTTGTGTGAACTATTGCCAATGGTTTACTATTTTTACAGTTCCATTAGTATATGCTGCATACAAACAATAACGTTGATAAGCATCATGTTAAATACCGCAAAACTTGAACCTTTTTGCAGTTCTGTTCAAACGTTTTAATAATTTGTAAATTCGTAACTGTAATTCGTAGTTAATAATTAACCATGCTTGTAATATTTCACGAACACATAAAGCAGGATTAAAATTAAACAACATATACAGATGGTGTGATTTCAATTCAAAACAATTTCATCCGACTTTCATTGGTGTATTATCCTTGCGAATTATTTTATAGCGAACGTATAAAAAAGGAAATTGTGAAGTTCTTAAATTGTGGAAAAAATAGAAATTCGAAAAAAAGTAGTCCGTTTACTGGTCGGAGACAAAAGTTTGGAGACGGAATGAAGTAACCAGTTTTAAACCTTTTAACCCAATTTTAAACATAATTTTAATATTCAAAATTTGTTGGTATCGTTTTATCTAGGTTCAAAACGTTCACCTAGACGGTAACTAATTCATTTACCGTCGTATAAGCCGCAGCAACCAGTAAATGATGAAAAATTCAATTTCTTTGTTTCCCATACCGGCTTGATTTTCTCGATTTTAATCCTTCTTTTTTTTAACGTTAACGTTTAGTCCAGCAAATGTCATTTTCAGATTAGAGGAATTACAAATCTTTTTAATCCCTCAAATATCACATGAGGAATTAATAAAATGTTGATCCTCTTCTTGATCAATAATTTAAAAAATACCAATACAGATTACTCAATAACTTTATTAACATGTGTGGAATCGGAACAATAAGAAATATTTACAGTGTAGTTATAAAAATATTTTTTTAGGGGGCCAAAATTTGAACGATTGTGAGCTGACATGAACGAAGTCTTGCTATCATCATGTGTTCTTCGTTAAAATTGCCCAGATAAGAACGATTACTACTTTCATTCATGTTGTTATTTTCGTTTGATGAAAAAAATCTTTTTGGAATTTTTTTTTTTTGCCAAGTTTGTTCGACGCAACGGTCGATGACTTCCAACCACCGTGGTTCTTAAGCTTAAAAAGACCCCCACTGGAGATGAGTGATAACAGTGACCACAGTAACCGTTCTTTCCCAATCACAGTGAATTCAGACTGTGTTTGTGTCACGCTTTCGGCTTTCGACAAGTAAAATAATAAAATGAAGGCCAAAAATAAAACTGTTATGAAAATAATATAAAATTAGAATTCACCACATTGATTGTTTCATATTGATAGATAATTAATAATTTTAAAAAGGAAAATCATGGTCACCGTTATTTGCCGATACCGGTTACAGTCACCAACAGAGAAAGACGGATCACCGACAAGGAAATATCGCGCATCTCTAATCGTCCACCAGCGTCCACTAAAAATATTCGCAGGGCACCAACGAAAACAGTGCCCTGTATATAGCGTAGAAACTAATAGTTCTAAAAATTTTGAAATTAGGCGAGAAAATTTTGAGAAGGTATTTTTTCCAATGGGTTATTTGGTGCATTTATTTTCTCGGTAATTTATAAATAATCGTTTGTGCTGTCTGTTGTAGTCCTTGTACAGTCCCAAATCGACTTCTTTTGCTCATCACAATGGTAAATACTCGCAATTTTTTTGTCTTAGTGTCAGAAACACTAAATACAAGGACGAATCCTCTGTCCTCCATACGATCTATTTCCATTCTCAACAGTTCGTCTGTTCTGCAACCTCCACCGATACCCAGTAGCAACCTACAAATAGAACAGTGTGTTTTAGACTGCCAGGTAAAATAGAATTATATGATCAAACCTTTATTAGCAGGGATTTATTGTCAGGGGTTTCACACAAAAATTTGTTGACCTCCTCACCAATGAATATTTTCGATTTTTTCGTGATAGTTTTTTCAAGAAAGTTAGAACTGTTTGAAACCTACATAAAAGCAATATTACAACGAGCTATAAGTACTAATTATAATCTTCAAACCAAAAAAATACGCAAGTTTCAATAAGTTTAAATAAAACTCAAGTGGCTTATTTATGAAACAGAAGTGTTAATAGTACTATTTTGCACAATCGGTCTTTTTTGCTACTTAACCATGGATACGATCAACGCAGTAAGTTGTATCTAAGGTACTTACTGCCCACCTTATTTTCAATCGATTCTTCTGCGTAATTTTCGCTACACTGAGTGTCTAATTAAAGGCAACACATCAATCCTTTTTTTTTTGTTTTTAAGGTTTAATTTGCTTCCTTATTAATATTATTATGTTCAGAATTATGGGTGGTTTATTTTTTTTGAGTTTTTTGAGAAAATAAACTGTCGATTAAAATGAAATGAAACTTAACCATAACACTAGAATAAATCACTGCAACTGAGACTGGCAACGTTGCTAGACGTATTTTCGAAGAAATTACGGTATTTGTGGATTTTTAATTTTGGAATAACATGTTCTCAATCAGTTTAAACGTTTAAAAGACATTTTCTAAGTTGCTCTTCTTTCAGTTTAGCTGTTGATAAATCTCAAAATCACATCAGGGGAACACCACTTGTTGATTGTAAATTTGGCAACGTTCATAGCAGACAATTTTCTAACTGAAAGCCGTTCACGGTCAACCAAAAGCCGTTACAAATTGCTAACTTTTAAGTAAAATGAGCAGGTGGTGCTTCAATAGAAATAGCAAAGACAATGTGTATAATATTATTGTATTTAACAAATGCAATGTAAATTTTCTAAAGAATGCTCACGACGATGCGCGTAAAAACTAATAAGAGGAAACCTAAAGTTTAAACAGAATTAAAAGGACTTTTTAACGAGGTACTACCTGAAACTAATTAAAGTTTTGCTAGAACGACATATACCATTACAAAATGAACTTTCATCCCTGCTGGCCAGTAGAGAACAAGTGCTTCTCTTCGTATTATAGCAGAATTATTAAGAATATTGGAGAAATAAGACATATTTGTTAAATTACTCTAATAGGATACATTATTAAAATCATTGTTATGGATTTGTTGGTAATTTTCATAATTGTTCTTCTGTTCTCGAAGTTGGCACATAGGTATACAGGTGAGTCACTAATCGCGCGTTCCTTGATAATTCATATAGTAATTTACACAACTAGTTCGGGATAGCCTGCTTCCCGCATGAACGCTTGTTTGCGGCACGACCGAAGGGAGTGCCGCATTTGCGTGAATGCGGGAAGCAGGCTCACGAACGTGTTGTGTACAATATTTTTTGCAACGAATAAACCTTTAAACTGAAGAAATTAACTGTGAGTTATTTATAAACAATGGCGCCGTCAACACGTCACAATGTTGACACTACGCGAGTATTTTAAGGTTACCATGGCAACGGGAAGTTAAAATGCACGTGTGCGGGAAATTCGAACTCCCGCACGCTGGTGAATGCGCGAAAGCCATCAAAAAAGGTCATGAGTGCAAAAATTACTAATTCCGATAAAACGATACAGTTTAGTGTTTTTTTTAGCTATTTAGGCTATTTAAATGATTAAATGTAGTTTTCTCAGAGACATTCTAAAAAATATTCTTCTGATGGGACCTTTGTTTATTAATTGTTTATTGCAAAAAAAAACTATACCCTGACAACGTCGAATTTTAAAGCCACCAAGACATATAAAATAAATGAATAAAACTTTGACCCAGAGGCGGGGCCAAAACTGAATTTCAACACGGCGTCCCTGTCGTACAGCTCGTCGGAGGGGATTTCTAGGGATACTTGTGAGGCTGGAGTTCATGGGCCCCTTCCGGCCGAAATATAAAGAAAAATAAAATTTAATTTATTTATTACAAAAGTACAATTTCATCTTCTCCTGAGCGTTTGTGGACCCATCACGCAAAACTGGCCACTTCCTGCCTTTCCAGTAAATTATGGTTTGCAGTCAATCAACCACCTTCACAAAGAGCTCGCGCTCCTGGACGACTATGTTTTGTTTTCAGTATCAGTTCCTCATTCTTATCTTGCTTTTCTGTTCGTTCAGGATTTTTTCAGTAATATTTTATTATTATTATTAATGCACTTTGTTTTTAGACGTCTTTATTACATAATTTTGATAATCATCACAAAACTACAAGTGTTCTGGGAAAGAATGTGTGAATTGACCCATTGTGTGTAATAGTATTTAACATTACTAGCATGGTAAAAGGGTTTATGTATCCTTCTGTCCGCCAGTAAAAACCCGTTACCTTGCATGTATTGTTCAATATTTTATTGGTTTCTCACTTGTAAATAACTATTATAAACTATTAAAAACTCTAGAAGGTCCAATATTTGAAGAAACATCGTATGAGCTTTAGACGTATTGCCTTCGAAACACACGTCAGCATGACACTTATCATAGCAGTTATTGTGTTGTCATTTAGATTTTTCGATTTATGGTTTTCGATGTATTGAAATGAGTGGCGCAAGCTATATTACTAAAGAAGCAGCAATCATGAGTGAAAATTTGCCTAAATCAATTTTGGCTGTCATTTCAACTTATAATAGTTTAAAATGTTTCAAATACATGGCTGTATGAGCACGAGCAGGGCTGTAAAAATTTGACAGTTAAGTGACATTTTCATGTTGAATACAGTGACTTGGTAAATTGATGTTTACAAGTGAGGAACAAATAAAAAAATAAAAACAAATCATCACGTTTGTCTATTTTATTCTATTTTAGAATCGTAATCTTGTTTATAAGCAAAACGCGGACGTAAGTTGGCCTTTATCGCACAAATCTGTCAAAAATTGCTAAGCAACAATTGATTGTTCATTTACAGTAATCAATTAATTATTCAAACACGCTTCGATATTCAACGTTTTTCTTAACTTGGAAAATGGCTATTTATGGCAAGTGAATAAAAGTGAATTTTATCCAACGAAAAAACAGTTTAACACACGAGGCGAAGCCGATTGTGATAATGTTTTCGAGTGGATAAAATTCGTTTATTGACGTGTATCATACAAGATTTTTTCCAATTTCGCAAAATTTTTCAAAAAATTTATTGTTTAGGTAATCCATACATAAATATTAATGGTGCTATTACTAATATGATGAACATATAAAGAAGGTAAATTGTCTAAGCTGTCTGTACTTTCGTCCCGGTCAAATTAAAAAAGGATGTTCCTGGACTTGTCATTAAGATTGTTTTACAGGAGGTGGACGATCAAGTGTTGCAAATTTTAGTTGAATATACACGCATCCATAGCAACGAAAATTTCAATGG